AAAACAGTTAAGCAAATATCGAACTGTGACCTATCAGATAAACAACATTTTGTAAAATCCAGAATAAACGCGATAATCCCTCTTCTTGAACAAGGCAGTGTGACGGTGCGCTTTCGCCAGGGTATACAGAATCCATGCGTAAAATTCCAGAAAACACTGCCTTGTTCAAGAAAGGGGATTATTGCGTTTATTTTGGATTTCACAAGAATGGATTACGGATATATAAAGGCCGGTATTAGTTAGTAGTAGTTTTTAAGTTTAAGATTGGCTGTGATACGTTTTAGATAGTGATTATTGTTGTAAGAGTTAATTAGTGAAGTAATTAGCGTAAGAGTGTATAGAAACGTGGAATAAATTATTGTTGTGTTAATTGAACTTTGATTTTCGAATAAACGAACCCAAGATTTCTGTCACGCACCACAGAGCCGTGAGAATATTTTATAAAGATCCGCCAGTTGCGCCCCTTCAACATATTTTATAGTAATTCGCGAGTCGCGGACCTTTAACATATTTTATAACGATCCGCCAGTTGTGGACCCTCAGTTGTAGTTTATTTTCAAAGGTCTGTTAGTTGACAGCTTTCGACAAATCAAGATTTGTTACTCAACTATTTTCCTTTTTTTTTTTTTGGTCAAAATATTGGTCGATATCCAATAATTAGGAATGGGATTATGAGATAGCTCTGCCCTACCAGAAAAATAGAAAATTTTTGAGAAAAAATAAAATTCAGGGTCTAGAGTTTATGTTCATTTTTCGAAAACATAAATTTTGAATGTTTTCAATTCGAAATTTTTTATTATGAATAACTTCTTTCTTTTAGACATAGACTTGCCCAAACTGACCCGTCCATCTAGTGCGATCTAGTCCTAGTGAGTTACCATTATGGTAGAAATTTCTTGGGTTTAAGGACGGGGAGGTAAGCCAAAAGAAAGTACTTAGCTTTCGGCGACGTTTCGGAACTACATTTTTCCTTTTTCAAACCCTAGAACGGGAAAAAAGGCACATGAGACGACATAGTAAGTAACATTAAAATGATAGTTATACAATCAACGATTTTGTCAAAAAAATAAAATAAAAAAGCTTTTGCATTTCTCTTAACTGCAGGGGCTCTGGAGACATCGGTTTGAGTAAGTACTCCTGAGCACTGACTTATTTTATTTTATTTTTTTGACAAAATCGTTGATTGCATAACTATCATTTTGATGTTACTTACTATGTCCTCGTGTGCCTTATTTCTTCCATTCCAGGGCTTGAAAAAGGAAAAATATGGTTCCGAAACGTCGCTGAAAGCTAAGTAGTTTCTTTTGCTTTACCTCTCCGTTCTTAAACCCAAGAAATTTCTACCATAATCAATAACTAATTAATAGGGACACGAAATAAATATAAGTAAGTTACTATATTATTAAAAAAAAAACAAAATTAATTTAGAGTTTAGAGTCCCTAAAATGCAAACCTACAAGGGCTGAGATAGCAGCACTAGTAAGCCATTTTCTAGAAGGCCTCTAAATTAGGCATTCCAACGACCTGTCAAAACTATTCCAAAATGGCCACCGTGGCGGAAGTTCCTTATTCCGTATATGAGAGTATAGAATTTAAAGCTTTTTTAAGTGCATTGTGTGGTTGTTTTGTGACTGAACTCTATTAATTTTTTTATTTTATTGACTTTATAAGGCATTTTTCTAATTAAAAATGCCACAAAGATGTCTTGTAGTTGATTTTAGAAGGCGTTTCAACAAGGATGATGCCAAATTTTTCCAATTAAAACGTAAAAATTATTCAGTACCACTGTTCCTGCATCTAAAATAAAGCCATACTCGAAATACTTGTAAGAATTTAAGCTTTTGTAGGCCTTCATTTGCTCATTACTGTAAAAACTAGGTCAAAATGTAAACAAATGTCAACTAGACATTTTTTCAAACTTATCGTTCGTCCACATCTCGATTTTCCTGCATTAAAGTCTTTGAATATTCACTCTGCATCTCAAAAAGTATATTATAACAAAATACACTGTAATTAGCTCGAAATTATTCCAAATAATCTCAAGATAAACAAACAAACGTCAAATTTTCCTTATTCGCCATATTGAAAAATCCCGTGGTTGGAGAGCCTAATTCAACATAAACAGGTTATGTTATCAATTCACTAATGTAGTGGAGATATTCCGTTTAAAACCTTTAAAAAATAATTTGAAGTACCACGACTCGGGGAACTTTATAAAATAATAAAATACGTTAAAGTTCCTCGACTCGCGGACCATACCTATTGCACCAAATAATCAGGTAAAAAGATGCTGGTTGCCATCCTGCAAATCGGCACGTACGCCAACGTCGCCAACTTGGGCCAACCAAGAAAAACGCGAGTAGCGCGGTGGTCAAGGCTAAAGGCAAACAGCTAGTAAAGTTTTTGCGCAGTTGTTAGTGAGCAGTAGCTTTGCGAGTTCTCCGTCGCGCATGTGCAAGGTCACTAGGCCTTTCCCGTAAATCTAAAACCCACGCTCACACATTTTTTTGCACACGGTTCTACAATATACCCATTTACAACAAAAGTTATCACACAGCCCGAAAGTAGTGATTGAAATTAAAAATTAAGAAATGTATTTTTAATGTGTTTTGTTTTGTGTGTTATTGGTGTCTTTGTTGACTAAGGCGACTTTATTATACCTATTGTGCAAGGCAAATTTGTGTATTATTTTAAACCAGCGCATCCACTAAATCGAAGGGCGTGCCGGATTAAAATAAAAAGGAATCTGGTGAGTTTTTTATTTATTTTCTCAAAAAGGACTTTCAAAAGTAAGACTGCAGAAAATTCTATTTTTAGTTGCTTTATCCAATGGGCATGTTTCCGATTATTTTTTTGCCTATTGAATAATAGCCAATAGAACTTTGCTTGCTTATTCTTAATGTGCATTTCTTTTTTATTTGCGTTCCCTATTTTTTTAATTTCAATTATTGAAAAAGGAACTACATTCCTGACGTCAGAAAGGTTTCTGCATATGCGTATAACTGTTTTAGGATGATGACAGTTTGTGCTTTTTGAATTTATATAAGTAAAATACTCGGTAAAATATAATTATCATTTAAAAAACATTGAGTAAGCGTGCAATTAATTATTTATGTGAAACAATAATACCTAAAAATAGATGCAATAATCACATAATTAATGGTTTTTTAAAATATAACTTTAATAAAGATAAGTAACATGGCAATTGGCAACAATGACTGGCGGTGTTGCTAGTGTTATTTTTATCATCTGGGTTGCCATATTTAAGCTGTAATAATAACTCATGTAAAACACTAAATAAATTGTTTGTGGTTGTGCCCTATAACGAGGATTTAGGGAAAAAACGGTTCCAATCAGGCGTTTTGTACATTGGATTGGATAGTTCAAAATCTGTTATATCTTGTTCATTTATTTACTTCTTATTTACAATATGTTTTCTTTCTAAAATTATTGGTTTTGGAAGTTTAAATATTTGTAAAATCAGTGCTTTAATATATATTTCCATTATTATCAATAATAATTAACAAATCAAGTCTGATAAATCGATAAATTCCATCAATACAACAGATGACATTTGAATGGCGAATGTTAGATTAGAAAGCTGGCAACACCGCATTAAACAACATTTTGTTGATTGTTGCTGATTGGACAATTTGAGATGGCGGTAGAAGCGTGAGGATTTAAAAATAATGCCCCTTTCAACAGCCTGAACAAAGGTAGCACATCTACATATATGAACTATGCTTCAACAAAGCTGCAAACACACTGCTAATAATTCATACGAGGAGTTTGTATAGTTCTGACAAAGTTTGTTCTGATCACAGTCAGATTACAGACCTTCGGAGATTAACTTCAACTTCTTTGTCTAAATTCCTCCACACTGTCAAAAGAACTTTGTGATTTTGATTTTTTTTCAAAATTCTAATATTATTTATGGAGTTATTTATGTATCCTACTACTTTAAAATCGTCTGTCATACAGATGAGGATCTTGAGGGATGTACGTTTTTTGATCATATAGGTCTATTTGTTGTTCTGATTGACTGTGTAGGTGTGTTAGATTTGAGGGTGTTAAGTTTTAAAAGTACCTAATCATATTTTGGGTCTGTAGTAAACTGTTCACTGACTGAATATTGTAATAGTGTAGCTAGAAGATTTACACCCTACTCTCTGTGTATATATAGGTATGTAATGCAATTTTCACTGCAAATCATTGTTGAAAATCAAATAACGATATCGTATTCCAGGCATTATTGTAGTTTATTTTGTTGGTTTTTATGGAACAAATTCTTAGATTTCAATTTATACATAGTAAAATTGTTAATTTCTTTCACTAACCATTTATTTTTTTTGATATAGTGGTGCCCTATGTAGGTACCTATTTAAAAATAAATTTGAGTTTCAATTTGAAAAAGCTACAACACTGAAACGGAAGTTCTTTCATTAAAAAAAATTTATATCTGAACCATACTGCCAAAGGCATTCAATTTAGAATAAATTTGATTTTCTGCATTAATTTGTAATAATAGACACATTCCTAATTACATTTACACTTTCCTGTGTATACCCAGGTACCTACATAATGTGTTTGCCTATGCAAAGATTATTTTCCATATAGAAAATAAACTAGAAACAAAAAAATAATGTCCCAATTTCATTCTTCTTCAAATAACCCCAATATTTAATTTGATGCAGCGCAATTACTAAATTGGCCTCTTTTGAATTTGATACTCATTATTATCAGCTAATTTTCCGATTTTCTTAGAGGGAATTTCTACTTTGGCAAGAAATAAAGTAGGTAATCAGTAGAATTAGCTACCCATACAAGACTGATTGCTAAAGAATATAGTAATCAGGAATCGGAAAATTAATCTTTCCTTTAGGCCATCAGTGCAATTGTGACAAATGGTTTTGAAGAACATGGATCTAATAAACATATTCTAGAAAAATACTTATAAAACAAGTTGAGTGATGGTAAAAATCAAGGAATTTGGCATTTACCTAAAATTGCTATGTTGTTGTACCCGTTGCTAGGCAGTCACCAAGGATACGGAATGGAATTTCCACTTTTGACAGGTGCCCAATTGCTGCACAAAATTAAAGCCTTTCTACAATTATTGAAACACTTTTGCACTTTGCGGCACTAATATTTATTAAGATTATCCATTTTTATATACCCGTAATAGAACTTAATGCGGCTTTAAAGGCAGTGGAACTTATTATTGATTATTTTGTTTTATGTCGCAGACAGCTGTGAGAATGTGCCATAGTCCGGTGGGTAAAGAAGGAAGCTGCTATTCGGAAATTGCGCGCCGTAAAATATTAATTAAAAGCTATAAATTATGAATTCGACTGTATTTTGCCTTATTATTTGTATCAATTCTATTTTGAAGCTAAACAAAATAGAAAACATTCCATTGCCATAGGAGGGAATAAATACCTACCATGAAACAGAAGTTTCATTCATTTATGAGATTTTATACAAAAAAAAATACCGTTGCCTCCGGAGAATGAAAAATGTTGATGCAAGTAGAATCCCAGAAAAGGAGCGTTAAACACAATATTAATTTCTGGGAAAAGTAGACAAACATTTAGAAGAATACAAGATAAAAGTAATAAAAATAATATATACACATCATACATTTATTGTTAAGCTGTTCTATTGCGTTCAGTCACCTAGTTGCGATAATAACATTTTTATTGGACTCTTCTTACGAGATTTAAGGCATTTCATGCCAATAGACAATCATTCCTCTTTGCAAATGGAAGGTGACTGACATCTATATTTAATTAATTTTTTCTTCCAGTGCCATAATATCGCGTTTCATAGAATCGCTCCTCGAAAAGAAATTTGTTGGAATAACATATCTTCTCTGATTTTAACTTGCAGATTATCAGTTTCGTATAATGCATTTTAGAAGGTTTATATATCTCGAGTTTGTTCTAATACCTCTAGCTTGAAATATCACCCATAGTTTTCTGATCAATTCCCACCTTATATGTGCATTTTCTGTATTTCTTAGCATGCAATTTGAATAGGTGTGATAATAGTCTTATTGGGCAGCAATTTTTTGATATCCAGTATTTTGTATAAAAGAAATACTAGAATGAGTCGTCAGTTAGTGTGGGATCTTAATATTTTGTAGACATTTGTTTGTACTGCATTATATTGTTGCTGCTCCTACGGGTTGAATCATTTCCACAGTTTTTTTCCATCCTCCTCGCTTAGGGCACGTCATCTATCCATTTGGGATTGAGTGTGTTTGACCTCAATTGTAATAGATACAAAGATAGGCATGAACATTCTGTTATTCATTCTTCGATTTATTTAGGTTTTAGATTAGGTTTTTGTATTTGCACAAGTACCTACGTGGGTATATCCTTCCTGCTTTGCCAATGGGTTTCTTCTTTTTTTGATTTTTGGCCTCCTCATGAACCCACGCTTTTGCTATTAGGCATAGCATTATGTCGGGGTGGATGACTAGTGAATCTTGTTCCTTCACAGCATCTGTTTTATCATATCTGGTCATCGTCATTCCCTCATCATGTTTTTAGTCAGATTATCAATCATTCCCTTTCTTTCATACGTTACAAGTTCTGCTATGTATGTAACTATGGGTAAAGTTTGTAAAAAACTGAGATAGCTTATAATTAAAGTTAAATCTTAATCTTGCCTTTCACTGTATGATTGAAATACAATAGTGTAGGTAGGCACATCTTTCTAAATAGGGACGCTTATCATTATTATTACTATATACAGTGTGTCCAGGTTCGCAGCATATGGGAAACTTTTTATTATTAATTTTACGAAAAAAAGTTATTCTTTATAAAAGTGTCTGCTTCTCGAAAAAATAATATTAAACTACTAAAACTTGGAATAGCATGTACAGGGTGGTCAAAAAATAGAAAAATATACAGAGCTTTTTGATAAGAAACGGTAAAAGTAGAAAAAAAATGGCACGTCACTATTTTTTAAAACCGTTGATATTTTTTTCAGATTCAGCAAGTCATATTAAAGTCAAAAGATACCTTTCGTTATCACAAACAGACCTGTCAAATTTGAAAAAAAAAATTGGAAAAAGGATTTTTGAGCTAAAAAAAAGATTTTTTCTAAAACTTTGACACCCTCCGTATCTCAGAAACTACGCATTTCCGGACACATGTTTATGGGAACATTTTTCCTTAAAATATTGTAAGTAAGAATCACATCCTGAAGGTACGAACCGTACTTATGAAACACTCTGTTTATTTTTCTATTTTTTGACCACCCTGTACATGCTATTTCAAGTTTCAGTATTTTGATATTATTTTTTCAAGAAGCAGAAACTTTTATAAAGAATAACTTTTTTTCGTAAAATTGATAATAAAAAAGTTTCCCATATGCTGCGAACTTAAGTAGACACACTGTACAAGGTGTCCCAGATTCGAGGGTGACCATTGAGATATCGGAAATTATAAGAGATACGAGGTCGGTTAAATTATGGCAAAGTTGCACAATTTTATGACCAATAAAATGCCGTTTTGAAATTTGAAAAATTCCGAATACTTCCAAAGATATTCGGAAAAAACCAAAATTTTGGAAAATCATTTTTATTTTTTCCTGAGTCTATTTGAAAAGCAATTTTAAAATAAATGTCACTTCATTGTTGTCACTTTTTCCCATTTACAAGATGTTGCTACCAATTTTCAGATTCGACGTTTCGTCTTTGGGCGGCCATCATCAACTTTATTTTTTTAAATACGGATCATTATTTTTTATTTTAGATTTTATGAGCCTCTGATGTCCCAAAACCTATGACGTATCGAAAATTTATATTATTGGCACTTTCCATAAGAACTCAATGTGTTAGAATGAGACAGAGAAGAAAATTTTGGTAGGAAATTACTAAAAATAAAAAAAAATAAAAATTCGAGTAAATGCGATACGTCATAGATTTTGGGACATCAAAAGCTCATAAAATCGAAAATAAAAAATGGACCTTTATTTTTTATTATCGTATTTAAAAAAATTAAGTTGATGATGGCCGCCCAAAGACGAAACGTCGAATCTGAAATTTGGTAGCAACATCTTTCTAAAGGGGAGAAAGTGACAATGATGAAGTGACATTTATTTTAAAATTGCTCTTCAAATAGGCTCAGGAAAAAATAAAAATGATTTTGCAAAATTTCGGTTTTTCCCGGATATCTTCGGAAGTATACGGAATTTTTCAAATTTCAAAACGGCATTTTATTGGTCATAAAATTGCGCAACTTTGCCATAATTTAATCGACCTCGTATATCTTATAGTTTCCGATATCTCAATGGTCACCCTCGAATTTGGGACACCCTGTATATAAACTTAAGTGCATAGAAATCGGCCCACTTCCAACTTTTGACTTCACCTATTTTTTTTTAGAAACTATTTACAGGATTACTATTATTTTACATAATTTCAACTCTTATCAGATGATATCAAATTGTTTTTCAAATGGCATAATTCTTTTTTCAATCTCATAAATAGTTTCTAAAAAAAAATTTGTTGAAGTCAAAAGTTAGTAGTGTGCCGATTTCTATGCACTTAAGTGTATATTGTATAACAGGTACAAAGTAGTTGGGAAAGTTTCAATCAGATTAGGTGTTGGATTAGGTACCTACTATAAAAATAAAACCAATTTCAGGAATCCATACCTTTAATTTATTGTCCAAATAATGCAGAAATATACAAAACGCTTTACTGTTCTAAGAATAATAGTTATTTAGCTCAAGGCCAAGACATAAATCTCTTTCTGCTGAGCTCAAAAAAACTTTCTAGGCCGAATGGCATATAACATTTTATCTTCAAGGAACTGCAATGTTTCCTTTCATAACTAAATCACTGCTTTTGTCATCCCTTTCCGGAAAAATAGAAGGCTGCCACTAAAATGTATGTCAAATCGATATTAGGTCACTGGGAACACATTTCACTGCTCAAAATATGAACGCTCGTGTTATCAAGGTGAAACATCAACTTGATTATCCATATATGTTGAGAATAAAACGCAAAACTAATCACAAGAGCATGAAGCTGCGAGAAAAAAAAAAATGAAAAAATAACTGCATACATACAAATCTTTATAGTCCTTGGTACCTAATGAATTAGACCTTTTTTTCTTTCCAGCAATAGCTCCTTCAGGTTCCTCATCTTTCTTTGATCTAGAAAAATTATATGGTAATTTGATATTAATATTATTTGTTATAATTTACCTTTTCAACACTTCCAGATTAATATAATTTCCAATTCCACTAGTTTTGTATGCTACCAGTGATGTTTTCTTAGCCATTTTCTTCCTTTCATCATCTGCTTTTTGTCTAGCGTATTTTTTAAAAGGTAAAGCTCTGGGAATCATGTTAGCAACTTCTGTGGAAAGAAATCAGTGTTTAGCTCAAAATTAAAACCGTATGATTGTGTTCAGAATATTACATTTTTACACAAAAAAAAGGCACCCAAAAAATAGCAGTCAAGGGTAGGTAAATTTGTCAAGAGAGAAAAAATTACCTTGAAGTTGTGAAAAGAAAAGGTCTATCTGTGTGTTTTTAATATAATTTATTTAAAGGTCAACTCTCAGGTTAACCCGTTGGTTATTCCTTAATAAGAGTCAGTGATTTAAAAAAAAAATAATAACAGAGGAAGAGTTTTAGAATATTATTTCCCGGTCAAATCTAATTTCGAATGACACAAAAACATAAAACCAAGATTGTCAAAAAGAAATTTGTAGTCTAGGAAAGACATCAAAAAATCTCCACTTCAACTTGATTTAGCATAGTTTACTTTCTTGAGAATGTTGGATTGTATGTTTACCTCTAAACTCAAGTTAGAGAAAGGGTTTACTTACAATTTCATCAGGTTCATCATATGGATAAGCAACAACTTGTGCTCTTATAAGAATAATATCCTCAATGGATCCATCTTTATAGTCAACTTGAATATGTTCCATTATATTTCAAGTACTTAGCTGCCCCACCCACAACTTTTCCAAAAATTTTTACAAGACCTGTAAGATTGGTTATTATTATGAATCTACTTTTTTTCGAAAATATAAGTAAAAATATACCTACAATTGCGATCCGTTTGTATTTTTTCCAGAATTAGCCATCGAAAGGACACAACATCCAGTATGAGTTCAGTTTGGTCTGAATTCATCCTCAAATTTTTCACCCCAAATGGATTTACCTTTGCTAGCTGTGATTGTAGGATCACCACCTTGAATCCAAACATTTTCCGTCGCATTTTCCTT